GTGTGGGGTGGTGCCCAAAATTTGCGTTTCTAACAAGTCCCTAGAGGCTGCTGATGCTGCTGGTTCGGGACCACACTTTGAGGACCAACGGTACAAAGTACAGACTGCTGAATGGAGTTAGTTCTATCACGAGGTCCTCATGATGCTTCAAACTGAACTTTCAGGGTAAAAGAAGGACTCTTTTTAGAGGCAATATTATTCAACCAGTGAAAATAGTACCTGGGAACTTTGTAAGACATGAAAAGGTATTTATAAGATTGAATAAAAAATATGACTTCAATGAGAAAATGTAATAGGAGGAAAAGTGAAATGTGCTAATTATTTTCTCTGCTGTATAAAATAGGCATTGACCTCTAGATTTTGTGCAGGTATGGTGGTTGGTGGTTAGGGTAGAAATAAACGTGTATCCTAGTCACTCGTTCATATAAAAACCATTTATAAACATTGGAGTTTGGAGTAGAAATAAATCCCTATTTATATGCGTATGAGTATCACATGTACTCATTCTTTCCACAAATATTTACGAATTCCTACTATATAACAGGCACTAGGGGAAAGACACATGTTTGTTGCCTTTAGTCTGGTGGAGGAAACAGGAAGTGAGATAAGAGCTAAGAGAAGTGTATGGAAAATCCTACGAAGGGGGAACCATTTGGTTTGGTAGATACTGAGCTCTATTTGGAACGGTGTGTATTTGGGTTGTATGTGTCTGTAACTCATGAGGGAAACCTGGGTTGGAGATGTAGACTGGCCATCCCTATCCATTTATGGGTATAAATGATTTCTCCATGAAAACAGGTGTAGTGTGAGAAAAGGAACATTAGCATTTATGGATCAGGTAGAAGAGGAGTAGCCGGTAGAGAAGAGTGGGAGGCTGACTGTGGACTAATAGAAATGTAAATATAACATATACAATTAAGGGCATATTAATATTTATGTTTTGAGCAATAATAACTTATTTACTTGAAATAATATGTCTTTAGTAATTTAGTCAATATGCCCTGTGAGAAAAAGCTAACATGCTAAATTACTCATAGCATGTCTTATACTTCCCGGTTAGAATCCAACCTCACTCTGTATTTTCATGTATCCTGGTGTCTTATGTAAGTAAACAAAAGATAATCCCTCACAGAAAACTGTAAAACCCGAATTAATAATTTTCCTAATAGTTTTATTCTTAGGGCCATTAGCTTTCAGTCATTTAGTCTTGAAATGCCATTGAAAATTACAAAGATAAAATACTACTCTACGCTAGAAATGAACAAACCATTGATACTACAACATGAATTAATCTTAAATGCATTTGCTAAGTGAAAGAAGACAGACCTAAAAGGCAAATACCACATGATTTCATTTATGTGACATTCTGGAAAAGACAAAACTTGCAGAAACAAAGAACAGATCAGTGACTTTCAGGGGTGAGGGGTGGAAATTTTAACTACAAAGCAATAGCACAAAGGACTGTTGAGAATGATAAAAGTGTTCTGTGTCTTAATAACAGTGATGCTTACATGACTCTATACATTTGTCAAAACTATAAAACTCTGCACCTCAAAGAGTAAATTTTACTGTATGTAAATTTAAAAATAAATAAAAGTCTTAAAATATAAATCTTTAATAGTTACCACTTCAAAGGATGCTATGGTTTGAATGTGTCCCCCAAAGTTCATGTGTTTGAAATACGATCCCCAATGCAACAGCATTGAGAAGCGGGACCTTTAAGAGGTGATGAGGGTGTGAGGGCTCTACCCTCTTGAATAGATTAATGTTGTTATCTCCAGAGTGGGTTTTCTGTAAAAGCAAATTCAGCTCTCATTTGCTCTCTGTTGCACCGTCTCGTGCCCTTCCATCTTCTCCCCTGGGATAACACAGCAAGGAGGCCCTTACCAGATGCAGCCCCTCAATGTTAAACTTCCCAGGCTCTAGAACCATGAGCCAAATAAACTTCTGTTTATAAATTACCCAGTCTGTGGTATTCTGTTATAACAATAGTAAAATGGACTGAGACAAAAGGATCTTATTTAAAATAAATCCAACTTGTCATTTTATGATCAAATCATCTACACACACACAACACACACACACACTCATTCCTCTTTGTAGAAATTCCATACAAAGTTATTTATTCGCTAGTAATCTTACTCCAGGGGAGTTTGGTTGACTTTCCCAAGACAGAATAGAAGGTAGCTGTTCAACTCTTTTTCCTGAGGTGCCTCAAATTTCTACTTGTTCATTAAGAGAATTCTCCAGAGACAGATGTATTACAGCACTTTGAGAACTATATTCACACCCACTGCTGAAGAGTGAAAAGAGATAGCTCAAGGTTCCACTCTGTGAAACAATTTAGTGGCTAAATGTGTTACTTAGGAACTAAATCCAAGCAGGTACTTAAAAAGAAGCAATTAAACATGGTGACAAATACTTCCCAGAGTATATGGGTATTTAGACTTCTGCTTAAGTCTCCCATCCCTGCATCAGTGCACACATTACACTTCAAGTACACATCTCTTTATACACTCTATTACCTCATGGCCATTACTTGCGGGTGATGAATGCTGGTGTTCACAGAACAGCGTGCTGATGCATTTTTTCCTGCCATTGTATGTAACATGTTTTCTAATTCTTTTGCTCTATTCAGCATTTGACCCCAACGATGGGGGATTATGGTATTAACTCTCTACCCAGCACACATTCTTTACAGACTCTCACTAAATACTGTAAGCCTGCTGCAGAGAGGAATAAAAGTGAAAGCATACCGTCTGGTCTTAAGCTGAGCACACAGAGGATCGTGATCCAATTGGAAGGGAAGCAGAATTTTTAAAAAGAAAGAGGTTTGACCAAATTTTAATCCATGTCATTTTCATTTCTCTTACCCTGTGGATTTGGGTGATTTTATTTACACTGTCAGCTTGAGCCTAGGGATTGGAAATCAGGCTTTTATGGAGATTATTAAAAGTACATACAGTACACTAAAGGTTGGGCTAACTCTGATATATGCTGCTAAAAATATGAATGTGAATGCCCTGGCATTAGAAGCCACGGGCGTACATTTCATCCTCCTTAGAAGGTTATTCTTGGGAGCTGGCCCTGCTGCAATGGTAATGAGATGCAGGCTGTCAGGATATTTCTAATAGGTAGCAAATGACCAGGGATGGAGGTGAATCAGCATTACTCAGATGAGAAGGTAGCTCTTTATACCATTAATTCCAATCCAAAGTAATTCCACCATCCTTCTCCCAAAAGAGAGGGCACTGTAAATGTGGGGGAGGGGAAGAGCAGAGAACTAAAGCTCCAAGGATTTATTGATGGGTTGGACACGCTGCAATGTCATCCAAGTTTCTAGGATGAGTTTCATTGGGTCTGAGCTTCTCAGATGCATCACCAGTAACTTTCAGTTAGGTAATGTCATATAGGCTTAGGTTACAAAGATAACGCTCTGCACCTCAGTCAGAATGTTGAAGATCTCAATGGATAAAAATGAAATGGTTTATCAGATCTCAAAATACTAGGAGCATTCAATCTTTAATGAGGTAGATTTAGGATCTCAAAGATGTGAAAGTACTATTTTACAAAGCAGTTGACTATGAGGGCCTTGTGTCCTTGCAAGGTTATGTATTATGACCATCAAAATAGCCTTAAACAGGTTTTAGGAGATGCATGGATAACAGCTCCATGATGGATCACTAAAATCCATGATGGATACCCCAAAAGACAAAATGGGGTATTTTAGGGACTTATTTCCAATTATTGGGGTCCAATGACATTCCCATGCCTACTTCATGGCCTCCTCAGGTGCCACAGATAGATCAAGAGTCACTGCTATGATGAAGCTTTGATATGTGTCAAATACCTAGAAATTGAGAGGAAGGTAGATGGCAGGAAATTCCAAATCTTTATTTCACCTGGAGCTCTCAAGTCTCAAGACCAGAACAATAATGTTCAGTTTAAGGACTGGGGCTGAGTGCAGTGGCTTATGCCTGTAATCCCAGCACTTTGGGAGGCCAAGGTGGGCAGATCACCTGAGGACAGCAGTTAGAGACAAGCCTGGCCAACATAGTGAAACCCCAACTCTACTAAAAGTACAAAAATGAGCCAGGCATGGTGGCACGTGCCTGTAATCCCAGCTACTAGGGAAGCTGAGGCACGAGAATCACTTGAGCCTGGGAGGCAGAGGTTGTAGTGAGCCCAAAATCACGCCATGGCACTCCAGCCTGGGTGACAGAGTGAGATTCTATCTCAAAAATAAAAAGAAAAAGAAAAAAGACTGAGGTCCATGCCTCTTTGTCACCGCTTAGACCACTCACATGTAGAAATGTGCTACCCTGCCATACACCCAGGCCATGAAGAAGGGAACACAATGAAAGGTGGCCCTTCAGTGATTTCACTCTTTGAAGCCTTGGTTCTGAACCACTTGTCCTATCTCACTTATGTTTTACATCCTAACTTGTTTATCTTTTTGGCTTCAGAGCTGGGATTTATTTTCCTTTTACAGCTTTACTCACTCACTACCCTCTCTGAACCCTGCCAAAAACAAGCCACTCTCTGACTAGAATGTTTTCTTCTTAATCTCTGATCCTGACCCCTGCTCTGGCTGTACCACCTTCAGGCACACTGAGTAAACATCCCACCTGGCCCAGCCTTCCCCATGGGCTTCACCACAACAGCGTGCCCCTGGCCCCCGAGAATAGTTAGCTCACCAGGTGTACCCCAGCCCACAGGTATGATTTGTTTGAGGATACCAGTAAACTACCACCAGAAAAAAGTACAACGTGTCCTTTTTGTGTGATAGCACGCAAGTTTCTATGACTCTTATCCTACTGCCCCAACCCTCCTTCATTACTATAAAAACATAAACATATACATTATGTTATTTTTTTTCAAATGAGGTTTCACATGTTTTACTTACTGAATTTGCACAACAGTTCTATGGATCAGAAACAGTAAATATGACAAGTGATTTGGCTCATGTTACAGCCAGTAAATTATAGAGCTTAACTCACCTGGTCAGTGCTTAATCTACTACCCGTGTTCCCTTGGGCTGAGCACCTCTGAAGGATAGGGATCAAATCCATATGGTCACTCTGCATGGAAATTAATAAATAATGTTGGTGAGATGATGAAGTTGATAATAATTATGAGAGTCATAAATATGCTTTTTATCTTCAATTGTAGAAATCAATTTCACTTTCCTGATTTTCATACCTATATGCCTTTGCACACATTTCTTCCTGTACTTAGGAAGGCTTCCATTTGCCCTGTTTGCCTAGAAAATCCCTCTTCATCCTTTAGAAGCTGATACATACATTACCTCCTCTGCAAGGCCTTTACCTATCACTGCCCACCCCCAACTTCCAAACAGCTAGTTGTGTCATATGTTAATGGTGTCACATTTAGGAAGTAATTATTTCATTATTTGTTTATGTATGTTTCTCTCACCAGACTATGGACAAGGCCAGGAATAGTGTCTTATTCTTTTTTCCATTCTAAGATCTGCCATGGTGCATGACACATTACAGAAACTCAAAAAGGTTTTTTTGAACCAAATGTGAAGATGATGATGGTGATGGTGATGATGGGGTAGGGGGACAATTTCACTCCTTCCAAGAGAAAGAGCTTTCCCAGCTTTTAGAACCAGTCTTTAGTTTAGAACAGTATATTAGTCACGGAAATCAATGCAGGCCACTATCAAATACAACTTCCAAAGTATTATACCTCCAGACAAGGTTATTTCTTACTCATGAAGATATGGTGTGGGTTAGATAGATACCTTCACTGGGTGGCCCTCCTCCAAGTGACAGCTCTGAAATCTGGGAACCTTCCATTACGTGGCTCTCCCATTTTCACATCCTTTGCGTCCAGCTGTTCAGATGGGAGAAAATATAGAGAAGACACACCAAGTTTAAAATGCTTGTTCTACAAGTGACAGTCATTGTTTCTTCTCACATTCCATTGGCCCATGTAACTGCAGGGTCCCCTGGAAGAGGTAATCTTCCTACGTGCCCAAGGAGAGACTCAAAAATGGTGAATGCTGAAAGTCTCTTGCCATGGGTTGCCCTTCTGAACACCAAATATTCATTTCCCACTTTCTCTCACAGAACACACTCACCCCACGCCAAGGGGAACACCCAAAGTCCCATTCGGTCACTACCTCCAGATCAATGTCCAGGATATCTGGGTGAGGCACCATCTTTCTTATTCATCAGTCTGACACGGCCCCTCTCAGTGCAGTGACCTTCATATGTAAAACATTAGTTATCTGTATTCCAGATCTCCACCATCATAAACCATATATAATGGTGGAAAAATGACGAGAAAACTGCAATAAATAGTACTATTTGTAATGGGAAATAAGAGACAAGACACATCATGGTCCTTGGCAATGCTGAAACCTTTCTGTGCCAACATGGGAAGCTCAGATACTCTGGGTGTGGTGGAGATGTGTGGACTTGACTCTGGGAAGGACTCCTGTATTTGTTCTTCTCCTTAGAAGAGGCTCAGGGGTGAAGTAGGCTCAGGGGAACTCATTTTCCTTCAGAGCAGTACAGTTCTAGAAGCCTGACGTGTGCTTCGTCTGCAATGTGTTGGGAACTCAAAAGTTGTTTTAAGCCTGGACCAAGCAAAGGCCTTTTAAGTCCAGGCTCCTGATTTCATTGTAATACAATTATCAAAATCTTAGATGATGTAGATCTCTTCGCTTTTAGTCAGTTCCAAGTGCCAGTAACTATACCTAGAGTTACTTTCTAAACATTGTTATCAGATTTACCTTTTTTCCTTTGTGTCTTCACCTCTATGCCTTTTTTTCCCCAACGTAACTACCTAATTACGTTGAGGCTATAAGAAACAAAAGGTGAGAAGACCACACGACTAATCTGATTTTCACCTCAAATGACTTCATTCAATTGAAAACTTTTGCTAGATATTTATCACTTAAAGTCATTTTTGGTGCCATATCTTACTGTTTGAGTCTAAGAGAAATTTATTTTTTCCAACCCTACGAGGCCAATATTCTATATTCTATTCTATTTCTGCTTGCAAACGCAATAATTATTTCCTGAGTCATCTCTTTCTTGTAACTTTCTTGTAATACACGAAAGAGATATTTCAACGTTAGCCAATACCACTATTAAAATTCTGTTTGCTAACCATTTCCCCTAAAGGTATATACCAGGCACATGGACTAACTTCTCATTTATAGCAGCAATAGTTGTATTTATCACTACATAACATGAATCTCCATCTTCCCATTTTCTGGTATTAGTTTCCTTCCTGCCAGATGCTGTATTACTAAACCAATGATAAATACTTGGGATCATGTAAAGGTCAAGGAATATGGTTTGGTTATGTCAATATCCCACTTCTGGTACCAATTTCTATACTACAGCAATAAATACCGGTTTCTGTAACAGCAGTCTCAGTGATTTCACACACAAGTTTATTTCTTCCTTATGTAGCTATCCAATGCAAGTCTAGAAGCTCTCCTTGGAGGCTCTCTTCCAAGCGATGACTGAGGAACTCAAACCAATGGCCTCTTAGCTGACTGTAGAACAGGAAGGAAAACTGAAATATTCTTTAAGATGTTTTTAAGGGACATGACTAGAAGTGGCTTATATCCCTCTGTCCCAATTTTTTTGACCGGAACCCTGCCACATGGCCTCAAAAAAAACTGCAAAAGGAGAAAACGAAGTCTTCCTGTATACTCTGGAATAGGAAATGGGATTGGTGATTTTTATGGCTATCTGTGTTGTATTACAATATGTTATTCATTTACTTGACTCCTCGTTGATGACTGAACAAACTGAGATTATCTTTCTTATCTTTCTTCTCTCAGTCACCAACTAGATACTTCAAAAATAACATTTTTATATTAAAAACACAGGTTCTTCCTACTTTAAAATTACTTATGAGGATTTAATGCAAGTAAAATATTTCCCATTTAACAAATGAGACAAAATGGAAACATTGACAGGTTTCAAGGGACCCACTGTGAATTATCCAACGATCAGCAATACGGTAGTATGGCCAGGTAAGTTCGCCTGGCTCAGATAGTTGCCTAGGTGCCATGAAATAGAGTTTCTGGCTTCCCAAGGTCTGCCTGTACTTGGTACGCATGGAACCAGAAGCTCCCAAATACTCCTGTGGCATGATATAATGGTACTGAGAGGCAGGAGGACATGTGAAAGCCTGGGATTAGAACAAATTGGCTACAGAGTGTAAAGATTCTACCTCCAGAGGCAAATGGCCAGGACCATGGGCAGGACTAAGGGCGAAATCTAAAAGACACAATAAAGGAGCCACTCATCTGTGACACCAGCCCAGGGACCCAGGCAACAGACCAAACCTGTCCTGCAGCAAGACTCAGAGACCTTGCAAAGACCAGCAAAGACTTGGAGGTAACAAGCAAACCCAAGGTCCCCTGTCCCCACCACCATGAGGGTACATCCACCTCCTCCCCTGAAGGCTATTTCTCTTTCTCTCAGTCTGCAACATTTGCATTCTTTCCAATTAGTACATTCATTCATTGACAAAAAGCCCAAGTTGCTTTTCTGGTTCTTCAGCTTCTCAGGCTTCTGGTCTGAATGGTCATTGTCTGGACAAACCAGGAGCTGGGAACCTACTAGCTGGGCCACCTGGCCTGGCAGAGGTGCCTTCAGGTGCTTATCTGCTCCCTTTAGATACTGGGTGTTTCACCAGAGCCATGGACAGACCAGAAGGTAAGGTGCCATGGTCACTTGGAACTTAGCAGCTTGCGGGAACACCTCGGGAGAGGATGCAAGTCTTCAAAAGATACTTTAAAAACAAATGCTTTCCAACATTCGGGCATCACATCCTATGGAGCATGAAGCATGTGGCAGGACAATTATGGTGGGCTTTCTGAAGTCATGGAAAAGACTAAAAATGGCCCGTTTCTCAGGACATAAGGAAAAATAGGCATTGAGCCAGTGGAAACCAAGAAGTAAGCCAAAAAGAAATGGAGGCATTTCTGCTTTTCCTTACTAGTTCCTTTCTACATTACAAACCAATTTTACTAGCATTTTGTCAGCCAGAGTCTTCTGTAAACAAGCACTTCCAATTTCTCAAGCCAATGAAAATGGAGATTCATAAAGATGTTTTAAGAATTGCAAGCCTGAAACGCCTTGGTGCATCATTAATGCAAATTAAATATGATCTGCCTTTTTAAAAACTATTGCGTAATAATACTTATGAAAACTGATAATTAATATTTAGAATGTTTAGAACATCTACTTAAATATTTGACTTACGGGCCAGTTTTGCTATTGAATGTGCTAAGAATTGACTAACTAGCATCATAAAAATCCATGTACTGCAGAATTCAAAAAAGAAGATCACATGCCAAACCTGATAATTTATTAATTGTGTGAACTTCACCAGGTCCTTTAAACTCTCTGTGCCTTATTTTTCTCATTTATAAATGAGGATAATGATATCTCCCATCCCTGGTTATTAAGCTTCAATGAGATGGGCATGTGCCCATACCTAGCACATACTTGCACAAAGGAGACACTCAACAAATACAGCTGCTATTATTATGAAGATGATGATGATGATTTTTAATACTGCTACTACTAGCTGTGTGAGCTTATTTGAGTTCCTAACCCTTTCCTTGTTGTTCTCGCCAGCCTCTGCTCACCCTCGCATTCTGGCCTTGCATACCCACTGTGGAACTCTAAACGTTTTCTCAAGTTCTGTTATCAGTCCTTCCTTTTCTCATTAAAAATAATAATAATAAAGAGTTACTTGAGAGTGTCTGAGACTCTTTCAGAGTAACTACCCCTCCAAAGAGACACCTCCCTCTGCCCTTGTCTTGGTTCTTCCCATCATTTCCTCTTCCTCTGGGTCAGACCTGGATAAACTTGCAGTTTCCTTCCTTCGTGCTCTCTGGAGAGCTGAGTGCTGCACACTTGAAAGCCTAAAAACTTGTCATTTCCACCTTGAACTAGTGGCTGACCTCGCCAGACAGCCTGAGAAATGAATTAGTGTCCTTAAGCGGAGGCAGAATATGAACAGTGACCCAGCTCTCCTAAGCAACCACAAAAACTGTCAAGCAGTAGTTAAAAGTTCCCTTTTTCCCAACCCCTTTAATTATGTTGAAAACTATGTCATATTGTTTTTGAAAAAGTTAATGAAATAGTAGGTAAAGGTGAACTAAGGAACATAATTTACTTGGATTTCCTTGCAAGCTTTTGATAAGGTCCCTCATAAAAGGCTATTAAGGAAAATAAATGACCAGAAGGCTGTGAGCAAAAGTCTTTCTGGTGTATTAAAAACTGGTTAAGCTATTTTAGAAGGAAGAATCCCTGATGCTGGCTACTTCTTGGAGCAGGGAAAGGTTAATCACAAACTGTCCTTAGTATTAGTATTTGGACTTCAGATATTTGAATGATTTATAAAGGAAAAAAAGCGAAGTTGGCCAAAGACAAAAAATTATTATTTTTTTTTTTACTTTCTTAGACTTTTATTTTTTTACAACATTCTTTTCATTTTATTTTTTTAAGCTGACAAATAAGAATTGTACATGTTCATGGAGTACATAGTAATGTTTTGGTACACATAATGTATAGTGATCAGATCAGGGTAATTAGCATATCCATCACCTCAAACATTTGTCATTTCTCTGTGTTGGGAACATTTGATACTATTCTAGCTATTTGAAACTATGTATTATTGTTAACCATAATCATCCTACAGTGTGCTACAGCACACCAGAACTTATCCCTCCTGTCTTGCTATAGTGTTTTATTCTTTAACAAATCTCTTCATCTACTCTTCTGTCCCCCTTGGAATTAACCTTTTTTTTTTTAATTTAAATGAGTTTTAGGGGAACAGGTGTTGCCTGGTTACATGGATAAATTATTTAGTGGTGATTTCTGAGATTTTGGTGCACCCATCATCCGAGCAGTAAACTCTGTACCCAATGAGACACAAAATTATTACCATGGTCAAACCTCCAAGTTTTTGGTAAGAATGCAGGACCCTTGTCCATCAACAGGAAAACCTTTCAGAGTAAGATAAAAATGCTTCTCACTTGTGTGGCCCCAGTCCAGCCAGGCCTGAGGCTGGAGGGCAGGACACAATGATCTTGCGAGTGTCCTTCCCACCCTTCCAGCAGATGGTAGTTTAAGGCCATGAAAAATTAGAAATGAGTGGCATGGGTGGAAAGCATTGAAGCAATATGAAGGCACTATTTTGCATGTTTTTCATTCCAAAATTGTAAAAGAATAATTCTATTGGTAAAGGAGAGCCAAAGGAATGTCATGGGGACTCGGGCATTAAGTACATTTCCTGTGTAAGTTTTGTATTTGACTTGATGCAGCAGAAAGTAAACAAGAGATACTGAGACCTGTTTACTGCCTATTTACTGTACGGGCAATGGGAAGAGCTGCTTTTTTTAATGAAAGAAGACCTCTTAAAGTGCTGATAATCTAACAACACGTTTATTCTCATAGGTATTTTCACCACTGCTCTCCCCCTTCCAAATATTTTCACTGTAAAATGAGACAGAAGAAATCATACCAATATCTGGGTGTTGATGACATAAATCCCAGGTCCTCTTCCAGCCATGGCCCTCATTAATCTTTATGACACTTTTTCTTGAGCCTCACCTGTGTTTCTCCAGGATCAAAAAGTCCTAAACACAAAAGTTGCACTGCAAAATCAATGGCAAAAATAATTCTAATCTAGGTTTGCCAAAGCTGCTTCTCTTCTGCTTAGTCAAGTACTAAAGTACTCTAGTTCATACATAGGGTGCCATTTATCCAGTAGGAAAGCATTTATTTTGAGAGACGGAGACTATGCAAAATAAGATGTTAGACATATTAGACATCCCCTCTCGAAGAATCCAGCAATAGACGCACACAAATATAATTATTTATATTTTGGCAAAAGTGCAAGGGCAATTTAATAGAGAAGGGATAGGCTTTTTCAACAAATGGTAGTGGAACAATTGAATGTCAATATGCCAAAAGAAAAAAGAAACAAAGAAAAGAAAGAATCGTAACACATACTATCTACAAAAATTTACTAACAATGGATCATATATCTACATGTAAATGTAAATTACAAAATTTCTAGGAGAAAATCTTTGTAGCATTAAGTTAGGCAAAGAGTTATTTGATACAACATCAAAAGCACTATCCATAAAAGAAAAAAAAATGGACACATGGGGCTTTATCTAATTTACTTTTTTATCTTTGTTCTGCAAAAGACACTATTAGGAGAATGGTGAAGCAAATCACAGATTGGAAGAAGACATTTGCAAATCTTGTATCTAAAAAGGACTTGTATCTATCATATATATATTATATATGTATCACTTTTATATATCACTTTTAAGCCGGATGTGGTGGCTTATGCCTGTAATCCCAGCACTTTGGCAGGCCGAGGCAGGTGGATCACAAGGTCAGCAGTTTGAGACCAGCCTGGCCAACATAGTGAAACCCTGTCTCTACTAAAAATACAAAAATTAGCCAGGCATGGGTGGTGCATGCCTGTAGTCCCAGCTACTCGGGAGGCTGAGGCAGGAGAATTGCTTGAACCTGGGAGGCAGAGGTTGTGGTAAGCCAAGGTCCCACCGTTGCACTCCAACCTGGGCAACAGAGCAAGACGCCGTCTCAAAACAAAAAAACAAAAAACAAACAAACAAACAAAAAACACGTTTAAAAAGCAATAATTAGAAAACAAAGCCCCCAGTTCAAAGAAATGGGCAAAAGATTTGAATAGACACTTTACAATAGAAGATATATAGACAATAAATAAACACACAAAAAAGTTCAAAATCATTAGTTGTTAAGAAATTACAAATGAAAACACAATGCAATGCCAGTACAGACCTACTTGAATGGCTAATTTTTTTCTTATTTATTTAATCATACCATGTATCAGCAAGAGGAGCAAATGGAATGCTCACATATTGCTGGCAGAAACACAAAATGGCATATTTTGGCAGATTCTCATAAAGTTAAAAACACATGTATTACATGACCCAGTAATGTCACTCCTAGATATTTACCTAAGAGAAATAAAAAGTTAGTTTTATATAAAAATCTACAAATGTTAATCTCAGTTTTTCTCATAACAGCCCCAAACCAAAAGTCCTTTAGTGAGTCCAAGAATGGATAAATAAACTGCACACACACCTACACCACCCAGCAATAAACAGGAGCAAACTCCTGATGCATGCAACAGCAAAAGGGTGAACTTCAACAAATCTGCCAAGTGAAAGAAACCAAGTATAAAAGGCTAGGTGTTGTATAGTTCCATCTACATAGCACTCTAAAAAAGATCCAAGGAACAGATCAGTACTTGCCAGGCCTTGGGAGTAAGGAAGGGGGTTGGATATCAAAGCATGACCCAGGAAATTTGGAAAGCAGGAGCTGGGACTGGGCAAGGGCCTGGGGGTGGTGATGGAGCCATGCTTTATCATGGCCGTGTGGTAGATCCACAGCTGTGCATTTGTCAAAACCCTCAGATCTGCACACTCCCCCAAAAGTGAATTATATTGTTTTAAAATTTGAAAAAAAATTAAGGCAACAAAACCCAAAACCAAAACAAACCACAACAAAACAAAAACAAAGGCTGTTATGATAAAAGCTGGATTATCATTTGTGTATAGGTTTTCATGTGAACATAAGTTTTCACATAAGTGATCATAATAATACATTGTATTTACATTTCATATGGACAATCTTCATTTCCTTTGCAAGAAAACTAGCCCGAATTGGGGTGCAATCTGCAGTCATGTTCTGCTGTGTCACTAACTGCCTCAAATGACACTGGATTCCTGACCTTCTCATTAACTCACACACACAGAGTGGTCAAGCAATCTTTTCCAGACTACTCTGCTTGTCTCCAACTATGAAAAGGATTATTTGATGTTCTTAAACATTGCCCTTCGCCTTTAACTGTACATAATAATTATGTTACCATGGTTGACGCTAATGACAACGAAGCATCTGCACTACTTCCTAAAGTTCCAGGACAGGACACCTGTGTTTTCAAGACATAGTACCAAGACGAGAGTTACAGCCTGCATCCGCTGGCTACCAGCGACGTTGGGAGACTCAGTTGGTCCTGCGAAGCACCATAGCCACCCTGCATACACCAAAAAATGCTGGGGATAATTAAGTGGTGATGTATTTTTTTTTTCGTAGTATGATTTTCCAACTGAGGAAAGAGAAAGATACACAAAGATTATAGTTATTCCCCAGTGTCTGTGGAGTACTGGTTCCAGCATCCCCTCCAAATACCAAAATTCAAGGACACTCAAGTCTCTGATATAAAATGGTGTGGTGTTTGCATGCAGTCTATGTACATCCTCTTGTATACCTACTTACAATACCTAATACAAAGATCTACAGTACAGACACCAATCATATATTTTTTCCTGAATATTTTTGACCTGCAAAATGGTTGAATCCACAGATGTAGAACCCATGGACAGGGAGGGCTGACTGTATTTCAGAGCAAACATTAGTTATCATTGAAGAAAGCAAACACATTTCACTAAAAGCCCTAATACTTATTTCAGTACAATCAACCCAGCTGAAGATCATCATGTAAAAAAGTTATACAGCAAGACTCTTTCTGTTACAAATATTTACTGAGGTATCTGAGTTTAAAGCCACTCAGAAACTCAGAGCAGGCCCCATTCCCAGATAGCCTAACTACCTACTCAAACTTCAGGACCTGAGTCATAAGCAAGAGCTGAAACAAAAGCAAACCTTTCATTATTTCCAACCAGACCTAGCGACATTAAACCTTTTTCTCAGAAGCATAAGAAGCAAGAATGAGCAACTAAATTTTAAAAATGGCAGCTCCTCAGCTTCATTTCCCCAAAATGGGTCAGGTGAAATTAATGGCTCTTTCTTCTGCATTATTAGTCATTTGTGTGCTTTTACAGTGCTGTACTTAACACAGTCTATTGTCATTAATTGTCATAGACTCATCCCAATGTGCAGGTGTCCTCAATGGGTTGTGAGCTCCTCGGTGGCAGGGCCAAGCATTATGATATCTGTTCTCCCAGAACCTATTGAGGGTCTGGTACATAATGTGCAACCATAAATGTTTGAAGAATAAAAGAAAGAAGGGGGAGAAAAGCAAAAATGTAGGGGAAAGACATCATGAGAGGACAGAAAGAAAAGGAAGTAAGAAAGGTAGGAAGAGAGAGAGGGAAAAAGGAAAGGTAGAAAGAAAGAACGGAAAAATGAAAAGGAGGGAGGGAGGGAGGGAGAGAGGGAGGGAGGGAGGGAGAAAGGTAGGGAAGGGGAGAGGAAGGAAGAAAGGAAGGAAGGAAGGAAGGAAGGAAGGAAGGAAGGAAGGAAGGAAGGAAGGAAAGGAGGGAGGGAGGGAGGGAGGGAGGGAGGAGGGAGGGAGGGGAGAGGAGATGGAGGGAAGAAGGAAGGAAATAAAATGCAGAAATTAAGACACATAGGGTGAGTTGAAAGGCAGAGAAGTGTCTGGTGTGGGAAGGTGGCAGCCATGGTCCAGCCTGATCATCTGGGGCCTGTTCCCCAAATCTGCCTATGCTTGTGTGGCCAGTCCACTCTCCCAGAGATCCCCACCACCCTTTGTCCCTACTGCTGCAACCCCGGGGATGTCAGAAGCCATTGTGCAGTTGAGCACAGGGCCAAGCCAGCAGCTGAGGCAGGAAGCAGGGCTGGAGCTGCTGGCTGGAGTTGCTGGGCCTGTGTGTCCTGCTCCCTGCTGCAGGCCTGGGTGCCAGAGCCAGAGCAGCCGGGTCAGGGTGGCGACGCACTGCTGGCATGGCCAGGCTCTCACACGCTCTCCTTTCCAATGGCCCGGCCGGCATTGCTGGGGAAACGGGAGGGGCCGGGCAGCCAGCAGCCGAGAGTGAGAACTTCCCCTTGCCAGAGCCAGCTGCTGGCTGCCATCTGGGCAGGGGCAGTGCCAGTTTCCCAAATCTGCCTTCCCTTTGGAAAAGGGGGAGAAAACTCTGTGCTGAGAAGATAGCTTCTCCTCCATCCTGAGGCTCTCAGTTAAAAACCCAACAAAACCAGCCTTTGAAAAAGGAAGGGATGAGAAATGCCACATGTTGGGTTGTTTCCAAAGGAATTTGCCTTTCCCGGGGCCTTTACTTCCAAAAAAAGTCTTTATTCACGCTCAAGATCCCTTGTTTCTTTCATTTCACTCCACAATAACCTTTCATTTTAGTTTAAAATTAAATATTTAAACAAATAAAATGCGGGTATCTGTGTGTCCTTTACACTGGTCACATAGGAATTGTTCACCATAAGCTGGGAATTCCCTGAGAGCTGTGACTTCCTCATTCATTCTGTAGCTTGAGTAACCCAACACCTCATCTAAACTGGTGCTCCCTGGATGCTTTCTGATAAGATGCAGTCATTCATTCACTGGATGCTTACTGAGCACCTTCTAAGCATCAGCACAGGGTGGTCACTGAAGAATTACAGATCTGGTCATGTTCTCAGAGTTTGGGGAATGAAAGCAAACCTTCCCATCCTTCTGGATGTCAGGGGAATGGACACTTTAGCTACTGTGTGTTGGCCCTAGTATGTCCTGCAAAGGATGCCAGCCCCAAGACCACGTTATTTGCTGTGCAACTACTATATTCCTAGGAGACAGGTGGGAAAAGAGTTGGCACCTGACAGAGCACAGAATCAGGGAGACCTTCCACAAGCCCCCAGAACAGCCAAGCTTTATCCAAGGTGAGTGTCAGTATTTTCAATAAGCCTCCCACCATGGGCACTAATAAATCAGAACAGATGCTGGCTGGGACTGACCAGTGTTGCTACCCTTGTGCATCCTATCCGAATGCGAATCCTGGATTTATTGTGTACCATCCCCTTACCTTTCAGGTCCTTCTTTTCTGTCTTGATATCTTTCTTCTCAGTGAAGGACACAACCAACCCAACTTCCTGACATCACAAATACTTGTTGAAAATTACCTGAGTGGATGGGCGCAGGGATAGAAGTCCCTATGCTCCACGAAGACCCCAACATGGCAGAGATCCTCATGGTGGGGCTTCAGATGGACTCCTCCAACTTTGCTGACATCTTCATTCTGAAGCAACTCTAAACATACCTATTATTCATGTAATAGTTGGAAGTGGCAGCCTGAAAGCCAGGGAGGTCTCAAGAGTGAGGCTCACTCTCTGAAATACAGGATTTGGTCCCCCAGCTCTGAAGCCTTAATATTTAGCTTGCCTAGGAGCAATCAGGCCCTAAGAAAAACTAGTTCACGTTGCCAATCTCATAGGAAAAATATCTTGCATTTTAAAGTGTTTCCTAAGTAGTTTTACAATGAAAGATACATGTAAACACAGCTTGAGTCTACAGTGAACACTCCCTTGATGAATTTAAATTGAATGATATCATTTGAGCCTCACCACATTGCCTGAGATGGCCAGGGCAGGCATTAGTAGTTCCTGTTCCATAGCCCCACAGATGTAAGACCTTGTCCAAGCTGGTGGAGTAAGTGTCAGCTAGACCAGAAGGTGGGTCTTCTGCCATCTCATTCAGTGCTCTTTCCAGAAGCCAAGTGACTAACTGATAATAGAAACTTCAGCATCCTAGTGAGGACACTTACTGGAGAAATGAAATGAAGATCAGAAGTTGCCCTGATGGATACATACATGAAAACACAGAGGATCTGTTGATGAAGAGCGCAGGCTTTGACTCCTGGCTGTTCCTTGCTGGCCCAATGGTGTTGGGCAAGTTAAGACTCTCTGCAACTCTCCTTCCCTCTGCGTTCTCATCCATAGGAAGAAAACAGCACCTTTCTTTTAAGATTGCCGTAAGGACTGAACTAGGTAACAAAGGATCCTTACTTCAGGGTCCAGCCTAGGGTATATGTTCCATATGTGATGATAATTTTTGCTATTTTTATCACTTATTTCTGAAAAGGTAACTTCCACCCACCGTCAGCCTGGAAAGGCTGTTCTTGACTGCTTTGTGCTACCCAGAGCTCCTGTTATTTGCTGTCTCCTTCATAAGGTGGGAGGAGACATTTATTCACATACTGGTATTTTCCTGTGTTAATCCTACCTACGCCCCTCCTGGGAACATTTGTTTGTTTATTCAGCACTGACTCTCTTCCAGTCATCTCCTAACACTTTAGAAATATTAATTCATTTCATCTTCATAATAACCTTGTAGGTAGGAACTATTATTATCCCCATTTTACAGGCAGGAAAAATGAGGTGCAGAGGTGAAGTCAATATGTAGCAAATGGCAGAGCCAAGATTAAAACCAGGCAGCCCAGCCACAGAGCCTATGTATTTATCCACTAAACTCGATGGTCTCTACGTTCAAACAAGAGGTAGGCCTTGAATAAAAGAAGTCTGTGACCTTGTAGAAAAGGTGGATTGCAGGTAGGATTCCCTTTTAAGCCTCTCAAATCTCACTTTGAAATCTATCTCCTACTCTCTACCAAAAACCGGGGTAGCACTGGGGTCTCTTCCTACAGGCTTCTGGAGCACTGAGACTTGATAAGCCAGAGCCAGGAAAACTGACTGATTTGCCTAAAAGTCGTTAGCCATACATTCACAAAAATTCATTTTCTAAATGCCTTTCAAACCATAGCTTTGTGGCAGGCCCTGGGCTAAGACATTACTAAGAGGGTGTTTCCTGTCCTCTGAGAACCTACACTTATGGAATACAAGACAGTTACTGACGCACATGTGGAAACGCCAAAGGTCTGACACTGATTCAGATAGACTCTAAAATGATCATAGAGTTAAAAAAGACTCTAAAATTATCATAGACTTGGAAAGAGTCTAAAATGATCATCATCCCTTGGAAGGACCTTTGTGTGTGCACAGCCTGAAGGACTGAAACCTACTCACACTGCATAGGCAAACCCTGATGGAAGATGAGGGAAACTTACACAATCATGAAAAGTACAGACAGAGTGAAAACAGATCTGTTCTCAAATCCCAAAGCCTTGAGCCCAGGGGACATCTCCTTGTTTGCAGAAGTTTCAGCACAAATAAAAGGGAATCCTACTTCAATACACTGGCAGAGAGGCAGCCGGTGTGAAAGCACATGTACAGTAGCTTCAAGAAGGGTTTTCATAGAGGTGGGAATACTAGAGTTTCTATAACTCTAGTTAT